TGTCACACAAGTATACACATGCACGCTCCTGCTGTGCTGTGTGTGGCGAGGGTCCCCCGGGGGGGGGGGGGGGGGGGGGGGTTGCCGCTGAACTGTCAAAGCAGGATGGATAAAGAAGCTGCCCTGCATATCAAGGGGCTCTGGGGAAATACCACCAACATGACACGCACGCGCACACACACACACACACACAGCACACGAATACAGCACGTGTGTGTGTTCCAGCTTTAAAATGCATAAATTGAAATGTGCACGCATGAATCAGAAAACAGACAAAAATGTAGTAGTGAGAACACATGACGTGCACACTTGTATTCACACACACAAATACATATTTATAAAGGGCTATTCGCTGCCTGTGTGAGAAACAGAACCAGTCCCGGGGTCCTCCGCAGAGGAACATCTGAGTTTGATAACGGAGGAATGTCCAGAGATCTCCATTTCGCCGACATCAACCCAACATGGACAATGTCAGAAAGAGACACTTCCCACCCTATTCTATGTTAAAAACTTTGGGAAAAGTATCAGAGGAATGACAGAATGGTCCTTTATCCTTCAGTATTCATGAAGAGAATATCTGAATCTGAAGCGTACCGATACATGTCGACTTAGGGTACGGTTCCAGAATCGAAAAGATGCAAGGATGACACGTTGTTGAAGTATTCCAAATGCAAAAAAAACTCAATGGGTCCAAACACATCAACAAAAGTCATGTGGTTGAAATGTGGTTCCACTATTGGTCATACAGTTGGCTCCTCATACGTCTTCATGCACAACTCAACCGTTGCCTTTAATAAACTACTACTTCCCCGGTCACCAAAACAGGAAAAGCAAGGCTGGTGTGAACGTGCCCTGAAGCAATAACTATTTATTCATATAATTTGGGTGATATTTTACAAGTTTTGGACATCATTTCTATCAGTAACACCAACATTGGAGTCACCAAGTTAATTCCTGAGATCTGGAATCAATGCGTCTTTGCTAAAAATAAACCAGGCCGGGCAAGAAGTGTAGTCAGACGAACCAAAAACAAGACCCAAGTTGTAATAAACAGAGGATTTGATTATCAAAGGCATTTCCTTAAATTACGAACAGCAACAACACAAGGAACAACAACAGCTTTTGCGAGTCCTGTGAGTGTACACACAGTCAGGTATCCATGGAGGAATAGGAGATATCTCATGGACCCTTTAGGAGGGACCATAGCAGCACCAGACCAGAGCAGACCTTGTAAACTTAACTATTCTTAATTCCACAGACGGATTTCCTCGATCGGGATGGTAAATCTTCATGCTTGGCACAAGCCTGAACAATCCATTAACAATAATAAAGCCTGAGCGGCCGGGAGATAGACTCTTAAAGGGGAAGGTCAGCCTGATATTACAGCTTTAAAGGTTTCCTATTATGGCTCAACTTCAATATAACCACTCACCTTGCCTTTAATGGCTGCTGGCTATGCAGTGGCTGAGCATATGTGGAGATCCTAAATCTAGTCTCTTTCTGAGATATTACTGAATAGTGGAGGAGCGATTTATGGGTCTGTTTTCAGTCCCGCTGGTTGGAGGTGTGAGTATTGTTAATAAAATTGCCGCGGGGGGTGAAGGAGATCTCATCGTCTTTGCCCTGTCCGGCCCCCACGTCCTGCCGGGACGCATGGGAGGCGTCGCAGCACCTGGCCCCAAAAGTGCTTCGGCGGCATGTTTTTTTTCTTCATCCTGGCCTTTCTTTCTTTCATATCTTTGCTCTCCTTCCACCTTGCTTTGCCTTTTGCTAACACCTCTTGTCACCCTTAGTCCCTCAGAGAGTTGCTCTGTTTCCAGCGTTTCCCATGTCTCCTTTTGTTCGAAACTTTTTGGGATAGTGACAGCACTTTGGACCCCAACTAAAAGACACATCTCCGTGCTAACACACAGTGTGGCGCACCCGTGTCTAGATTTTGTGATGTTCTTTCTTTCGCCCTCTTTTCCCTGCCTGTTTTCTCCTTGGCCAGCTTGTTCCACTGTCGAGGGTGACTGCAGAGAAGAAAGATAGGAAGGAGAGAGGACACGGCAACGGAGAGAGCAGGAGCGGGAGAGGAACGAGGGGAGAGTGCAAGCTCTTAAGTAGATTGCGAAGAACAGCACAGAGGCGTGAGTGTGAATATTAAGAGGGTTTTCTCCTGCCCGAGAAGTTTCAGCCTGCAGCAGCGGCACCAGGAAGGGAAAGAGATGGTGACAGAGAGAGAGCGAGAGAGAGAGAGAGGGAGAGGGAGAGGGAGAGAGAGAGAGAGAGAGAGAGAGGATACCTACAGAATCGTCAGCTATTCAGCCACATAGCCACGACAGCTAGCTTCAGGTGTCAGAAACAACGGTGTACACAATCTATCAAGCTGTCCGGCAGATCCGAAATGAGAAATTACCATAATTGAATTAGAAAGGCGGTTTCTTACAGCGAAAAAGGGTGATGATTTTCTAAGAAAAAGGGAAATGGGTGATGCAAGAACAATGTAAATTGAAAGAGGACGGGAGACTCACCTGGAATGCCTGGCGGGGTTTTCAGGTATTTGCCATTGAAATGCTGTATCACTACTTCACATTTCTCTGTGGACTCCATCCTGCAACGAAAAAAGTGATACATGGGGTTTCATTTAAAAACACTGGCTATCCATCTGCAGCAAAGGCTGACAGTCCTTCCTTAGAAATATAAGTGCTTAACCCTGACACTAAACTAAAATGACACAAAGGGAGTGCTTGTGGTGAATATAATTAATTTAGTTCGGGTGCAAATGGAGGTTTCTTTGTGGCACTACACACTCTTTAACTGTCACAAATGGATAAGAATACCTTACCTCTCATCTACACCACGATACCGTTTGTAAAAAACAAAATATATCAAGGCGAGTCTCAGTCCACTGAGAGCAGTGCTGCAGTCGTAATCAACTCAACTTTGCTGGTTTCCATTTTTGCACCGGAAGCACGAAGTTAAATACCGCCACCGATGACACATTTACAACAACAAGGAGAGCCCCACTAGACTGTGTCCTGCTGGCTGGGTAGTGTCACTCTGTTTATTCTAAAAAAGAAATAAAATAATTTGTGACACTACCCAGAGTCAGTCTGTCTATGTGCTGGGGAACGTCATGAGTCAGAAGTTCATAACGAATGTAGAGAAAGGGACAGGCGACAGGGAACTCAGGGAGGTAGAAAAAGGTATGAAGAAGGGAAATGTCGTGCTTATAAGGGGGAAGAGAGAGAGAGAGAGAGAGAGAGAGAGAGAGAGAGAGAGAGAGAGAGCAGGAAGCTGACTCACTCGCCCCCTTCTTCCGGCCACTTGATCAAAAGTTTCTGGGCCGAGCAGCTGACCAGCAGGAGGGCTCTGAGCACACAGACACCAATAACCCCCTGAGAGGAACATGAATGTGCATATAACCAAATTTCGTGGCAATCCATCCATATTTTGTTGAGACATTTCCCTAAAAAAACGAAGAACGTGAACCTCATATTGGCGCTGGAGGAAGAGTCAGGGGAGCTCATCCTCTGTGGAACACGGCCGTCTGTGTAACGTTTTATTACAGCAGCATTAAAAACACAGCTGTGTGCACGAATTTGCAGCCAGTGTGTATGTTACCATGCAGATTACGCACAAAGGACTCATCTTAAAATGGGCTTTTAAATGCAGGCTTGAGTGATTGCCATGCCTCTGCTTAAGGTAATAAGCTCGTGGAATGTGCAGAATTCATTGCTTTCCAAATTTTCATTCTTTATTCGGTCTCACCTCCAAGAATTCTCATATCTCCCTGTCAGCCTCTCACTTCTCTGTCCTCTGTCTCACTCATGTTTCTTCGATCTCTACCTTCATCCTTCTTTTTTTTTTTTTTACCATAGCTTCTTTATCTCTCTCTCCGTCACATCCATCTTACTCCCGACCCGTCTGCACCTCTTCTTTTTGACGTCTCTCTCATTCCTCCTCGTCTTTCACCCTTGGTGTTTTCCTCCATCTTTCACCGTTACCCCCTCCCTCCCTCCCTCCCTCCCTCCCTCTCTCTCTCTCTTTCCCGCTCCATCTCTCTCACTTTGGGTGCCCTCCTTTTCTTCCCGTCCGTTTGCTTCTCTGTGATCCACATCAACATCTTTCTCTCTTTTCCTCTCCCCACTCTTTTTAGAATATGTCATCTTTCACACTTCCTGGCATCATCCATCTCTCTCTGACCCCGTCCCCCCCCCCCCCCCCCCCCATTTGTCATTATCTGCCCCACCCTCTCTCTCTCTTTTCTTTTCCCTCTGCCCCCCCTTGTGTTTGGGAAGACTGAAAATACAGTAAGCAGCCAGTGTGACTCAGCTAATCACAACTGGCCTTTAACACATTACGAGCACTCAGCATCTAGAGATGAGATCAGTAAAAACACTGCCATTCATCTGATTGAAAAGAGTACGTATATATAAAGGCTGGGTATGGTCTGATATTATATCTGATTTTATTCATTATGTCGATTTTCATTTAATAAAATAAATTAGGCCTCTCAAATTACATCAATCAAATCAAGCAGCCGTGAATGGACTGTGCCTTAATACAACTTGTAATTGGATAATTTAAATCAATAATACTTTGATCAAAGGAAAGAGAGTAAAAAGTGTACAAATACAAGGCCACCTTCTTCTGCAGCTGTCAGTGGCTGACAGTACACTTAGTGGTAAGGACACATTTATGTCAGCACCAAAGGATTTATATTCAGCTCTACTTTATATAAAAAATATTCTGCTGACACAAAGGAGGTGGAGACCATTTCCTCACAGACGGCCCAAAATATTTTTAATAAAAGAAAAAAAGAGATGAAGCTTTGAGAACTTTCTTTGACACCGTATATAATGCATTAGATACATATTTATAATGCATTATAATATAATAAAGAATAAAGTATTGAGTGATGAAGCCACTCTAAGTGGTCATTGGGTGCTCTAACTCAAGTAAAAAATAAGTGTATAATGTTTTGTGTGTTATATAATAACATGTTTTCCCTTTGGAGTAACTTACAATTACATTATAATGAATTGTAAAAAGATTATAATGTATTATAACTATGGGAATTATAATACACGATAATCCTTACAAAAATATGTCAGTGAGTGAGCAGCACCTGTGAAGTATTATGATACTTGACCTCAAGTCAAATGCTTTTTGTGTTCTTTATTAGTGTTTGATTGTTATATTCCATATATTGTAGTACATCACAACTTGCTGTGTGTGTGTGTGTATATTTTATTCTGTTTATGCCATTGACATATTGTTTGATGACAGAATCATGCCAATAAAGCTCCTAATCCGCGTTGACGCGCACACAACACAGTTACACAAACATGCCAATAAGCCTTCCATAAAGCTTTCACTTCAGGAGGCAGCCCAGTGACACAGAGAGGAGCGGCATGGAGCAAAGCTAACCTCTTTATCGCTTTTGTTCTCTCTCACTAAAGCCTAACAGCCCCACACACAGCGCACACTCCACTTGTAATAATGATTTATGTGGCGGTGTACTGCATAATCGAAAAAATAGAGATTTGCTCTGGTGTTTTTTTTGTTTTTTTTGCTGTCCATCTTTAGAAAGTGTCTGACAATCAGGTTGAACCCATCACCCGTCCTCCAGAGTTTCAAGTGATTCTCTTGACTGGATGCGTTGATGCTCAGCCCTCCCTCGCTATTCTCCGGCGCTCTTTATCGTCCTCCTCACGCGCCCTCTGGCTATTCACTGCTTGCCTCCTCCTCAACGCCGTCTCTCCTTCACTCTTTCAAGTAGGTATAGGTAGACAGAAAACAGGTGGGTGGATGAGGCATAAATAAGGCAGACGGGCTGTTAAGGCAGTCGCCGGGAAACAAACGGGTCAGCCCGACTGTCCACCAACCTCCGGGGTAGTCGTTCAGTCAGGTAGGCGGTGGGGCAGGCCGGCTTCTCTCTGTGTGCTGCCGGTTTAATGGCATCAGGTGCTGCTGTCTGCAATGATTAGCGCCGGGGCTGGAGTAATGGGCTCTGATAACAGTAATGGATCGGCCCACAAACACTTAGCTCAGTTTACTCTCTCTAATGCCCCTCATGGCCCAACCCTCAGCAGCTGTCTGTCTGTCTCGCTGACACAGCTAACGGGAGCTCCACAATTCATAAAACACATTGATTTATTTTGTGTGAGAATCTCTTTCTGGCTTCTTTTCTTGATCTGTACTTACACAATAAAATCTTCTGTACCTCTCTCTTCTTTATTTGATTTTTTTAAACTCCATATCTAACCAAATGCCACTCGATCACTTCTCACATTTTCTTCCAGACGCCCACAGTCGCCCGGTTCACTTTCTATTCCTCAATCTTTCACCGTCTCATACCGCCTTCTCCTTCCCATCACCTTATCTTTCTCTTTATAATAACCTCTATGATTAGTTCTTCTTTACCTGGCCATTGTTTCACACTCCTGTCCCTCTCTCTCCTCCCTTTTCCATCATGTCTCGGTTCCCCCACTGAGGGCTGCTTGAACAGGTGGCCTGTGGCAGGTTGTTGCTGTGCTCTGCTTGTTGGTCTGCAGGAGGCTGCCTGCCTGTCTGTGTGTGTGTGTGTGTGTGTGTGTGCGTACGCGCGAGAGTCTGCTCACTAATGCGCGTGTTGGTGTAACATGCACACGTGCACGCACACGCGTTGAGGCCAGTCCGTGCATATGCTCATATTTGTGCATAAATGTCTGTTTGTGTGCGTTTGTGCTGGTCTGTCCTGCTGTAAACCTCGGTAATAGAGCAGGGAATAGGAGAGCAGTTCAGCCAGAGCAAGTGATTAAGAGAAATCCCTGCAAGATGGCGGCTCTGTGGCCTCCTCTGGGTAAACAAGGGAGGAATGTGTGGAGAGGAATGAGAGCCCGGTGGCTGCCGCTCGAGGACAAGGACAGAGCGGTTTATGACTTTGTGGGATTAACAAGCTGAAGTGGAAACTTTTCTAAGTAGAAAAAGTAATAAACCGTACAGTGTTTGGATTGGTGGTGGAAATATAGCAGCCCTGGCTACTCTGGACAAGGGGTTAATTGCAGGTATGTGAGGATGTTTGGGCCTGATCATAAGGGTTCCAAATTGGTTCTTCCTTAAAGGCTGAGGTTCTACGCAGAACTATTTGCTTCTGAAAACCCCTTCTTGTAAGAAATTGTTCATCAAGGTTTGTTGAAAGCATGGATGTTAAAAGATCCTCCCCTGGTGGGTTCTAGATGAAACGCTTGGAACGTTAAATGGATCTCTGCAGAACCCCCTGAAGGGTTCTAGATGAAACTATTGGGGTATAAAGTGGTAATTGGAAGAACCCCCTGGATGGGTTCTAGATGAAACCCATGAAATATAAAAGGGTTCTCAGTAGAACCCCATGGGTGGGTTCTAGATGAAACCCTCGGTATATTAAAAAATGTTCTCAGTGGAAGAGTTCTTGTTAGTACCCTTAGAGCAAGTTCTGGGTGGAATCATTACACCATAGAAGGGTCTTCTCTAGAATCTCTCATAGGTTGTTCTCGTATGGGGGCAAGTCGAGGAACCCAGTATGGTTCTCAGTGAACACCTTTATTTCTAAGAACCTATAGGCATGTGCGCTCATACACAGATGCACACAGACTTTAATGCACAGACATGAACAAAGACAAATCACCTGTTAAAGTTCCCACTGCATGGAGGCAGCAATCATCTGACAAGGGTCTTTGTTAGAGTGAATGTGTGTATGCACATAGTAAATACAAGTGTGTGCCTTTATGCCAGTGCATGTTTTTGTGTCCATTTGTGTGCACTTCGGTCTGTGCATTTGTGAGAGTGTTTGCACATGGGTCTAATCCATTTGCAAATTATTCATCGTTACTGCTGCAGCTTCCATCGAGTACCAGAAGGGCAGGAAAACACAACCGCAACAAACATGTCCGGTAAGTATGGAATACGTCCTTTACTTAAAAATCAAATATTGCTCCCAGAGCATCGCTTTTGTGTACCTGGCGAAGCCGACTCCTCTGCTGACCCCGTTGGCATCCCTCAGTATCCTCGTGGAGATGACGTGACCCAGGGGCTTCAGCATGTTCTCCAGCTCCTGCTCATCCATGGACACCGGCAGGTTGGAGATGTACAGGTTGGTGGGGTCCTGCTCCTGTTGCTGGAGGGCCAGGAGTGAGAATAGTAGGGGAGGACGGATAGAGGAGAATAGGGGGTGGGGGGAAGGAGAGGAAAAGATGAGAAATAATGTATCACCAACAAGTGTAGGAATCATGAAATATGCATGAGCTCTGTGTCGTGGGCCATCACGTAACACGTCTCAATCCCGCCAACAGTGGAGCCAAACTCTGTCTGAACTTTGGCATTATTGACACTCACACATTGAACTGCTCACATGCCATATGAATACACCCATGGTTCACTGTGCCTCTGGCTGTATGTGTGAGATGGATAGTGTGTAGGCTACATTATGGATTTGTGTGAGTGGAAAGTATTATGACAGTCTATAGCAAGATCTTGCTGTACATATTTACATGTAGTTGTAGTTAAAGTTTGAATGGCGTCTTCTCAAGTAAGTAAATAAGTAGGATTTGCAAACAGTAGAAGTTGCTCCTCCTCCGCGGCTCAATGACACTATAGAGAGTTTAGCGATCTTCAGTTTAGCTAGCTAATGGGAGAATGTATCCTATAGCTTTCGACTCAGACGACACCGATGACTGTGCCAGCCAGGGCAGGACAGGACCCCCGGGGGAGAAGAGGCCGATGAGTGACAGCTGGAAGCAGAGGCAGAGCGAAAGGCAAAGAAATACCCAGAAACGCCCTCAACACAGCAACATGAAAAGAAAAAATACAGGCAGAGGGCAGGGTCCCCTCAGATAAAGACACCGCCGCACACTTTTGTTGGTTTTTTCTTGGTCACCGGCCCTTACGCAAAATATTATGACCCTCAAGGTACCCCTCCAGCGGCTGTTTTGGACGTGTCAGTGGAAAAAAAAACAACTCGGTTTAGGCAACAAAACCACTTGATTAGGCTTAGGAAAAGGTCGCTGTTTGTGTTAAAATAACTGCGTTTGCTGCGTGAGTCATGTATGTGCCGTCAATGTTGACTTGGTGTCACACGGGACACAAGCAGCGGCCTTCTGGGAGAAAGCCTGTGTCTGTCTGACCCATCCATCGACCCTGACCTCCTTTCTACGCGGACTTCTCGCTCTTTATACTACGTCAGTTGCTCTGACCGTCTAATGCCAACGCATTGGAGTTATCATACAGACGTTAAAGGGTGCCTCGGTGAGTCAGTATCAGCCGCTCTGACCAAGCATTGGTATTTGACTTTAGGAGTGAGAACGTGTTGGAGCTGTGTAGTGTGGATTGTACAGCAAAAGCATTTTCCTTGTTGTCCCCAGGGGCTGCTGCTAGCTAGGTGAAGCCACACAGCTGGCGGTGGGAGGAGCCTGTGAGCTAGCTACAGTAGGAACAGCTGGAAACAGCAGCCCCATTCCCGCCAGTCAATCAGTCACTGTGCCAGGGAGCCAGCGAGAACCATCTATCCATCCATCTATGCTGCAAGTCAGCCAAATTAAACATGAAACTACATTATGCCATCCTCATCTCTGATGGTGTATCTTTACGATGCCTGATTGTGATCCGTCACCAGCTCTCGTTCATCACATCTCCTCTTTATCCCAACATCCCCATCTCCAAACCTTTCATCCGACAGCAGCCAGGATCAGCTGGTTAAAGCTAACAATGGCAAAAAGCAACATTACAAAAAGGCACCCACGCTGTGGTTGGTGGCTAGCGTAATGTGACAAGTGAATACTGCAACATTTGAAATGGATTTACATCCTCTTCCTTTCACAGGTGTTTGCAGAGGATTCATCTTGAAAAGAATGTATTCAACTTAAAGATAATTAAGAGATGTTGATCTTTTGGATAACTGTGAATGGGTGACTGGAGGCTGCCTTTGTGAACTGCACTTGAAATGTATGTATTTAATGCAATGAATGCAAAGTAGAATGTGCTCTCACCCTGAATGTTAATCCAGTTTACATCAATAATGTGAGCAGCGGGGGGCCTTTAAAAGGAACTTTGCCATTTAGAAGGGCAAAATCTGTGTTATAGTTGGGCTCTGTTATGTAATAATAAGGAAGGCTACTCGATGTATCCTGAAGAAATAACAATCATTTAGCAAGACATACATATATTACAATTATGGAATTATAACCCATAGTATAAAATGGATCCAGCAATAGTCTAATAAACTTCAAAGGAATTCTTCACCCACAAAATGGCAATTTGTATATCAATCACCAGCCCGTGGTGTTTTGAAAAAGATAAATGCCCACATGCAGTATAATCCAAGTCTCATTTAACCAGCTTTATGCTCACTACTTACCAAACACATGCATCTTCGCTATCTAACGATATAAAACACTTAAACAGTCTCATGCTTGCGTAGGCACACTATTCATCAAAGCGCTTTACAGGGTAATTACGGTCAAGTTGAAGAACTAACTGACTTTTGCCCAAAGAAAATTAACAATATGCACATAACACTGTTTTTAAGCCAGATGGATAATTGTTTAGCACTACTTTGATATCAGTTGATTCAGCGTCAAATAAATGCCTCAAAAAGATCAGAAACATGAATTTTCAGTGATGTTTTCTCACACGCATATGCAGTACTGTAAACAGCAACTTCAGCACTGAAGTCTGTCTTCTTCTCAGTAGGGGGTTGTGGAGACACTTCACTTGCCGCCTGCATATAAACACCGTCTTTGAGAATCTTTACAGACTCGCTGTGCTTCGCCAGAGGCGACACCGCCTCACTCCGTCTTGTTTTGCTCTCCGCTGACGACGGAGGAAGAGGTTAAGGAAGAGGAAAGGAAGTGCCTCCACCAGCGCCCTGCCTCCATCTCTCCATCTGTCAGAGGAGAAGACTGGTCCCTCCCCTGATTAATTAGCCGTCTTATCTGACAGGACATGTTTGATCTGATTAAAGCCTTTGGGAGAAAGCCGATGCCTGATGTGAAAAACCGCAGCTCTTTCTCCTTTAACCAGGAACTCAATTACCCAACTTTGGGGCTAACTGCACTCCTCCCTCCTCTGCAGGTTTGGCACATTTACGTGCTGCAGAAAGAGCTCACAAGAGTTTGTATAACACAGTATTTGGCAGTGAATGAGGCTTAATTAAATCTGCCCGTAAAAATAAATAAAAAACTACTGTACACATGTGACTCTCTAAGTCCCTTTGGTGTTGGTAGCCGTGCAGCTGTGCCTTCCTTTGAGTTTCATCGGTTATGTGAGGCGATGTTTTTCAGGATTATGTCAAACACGCTTCGTATTCCAATGCAGACAGGAGTGTGTGGATCAAAGAGTGAACTGACTGACTCTAGTCACTGGGTTAAGCCAATGATACGAGAGTTTGTGTGTGTGTGTGCGAGCGTGCTTTTAGAATGAAAGCACCGTCTCCCATAAGCACGTGACGGTACACGCGGCGAAGGCGGTGCGACAGGACGCGGCGAGGTGATTCGTGCGCGTGGGCTAATAGCGGAGGGCCCAGTTTTGCTGGGGGATTATCGTGGGGGGGCGTCGTCTACGCACGGCCGACTCGCTAAGTTTCCTCTTTGATGACGTTCTGCGCCACAAAGCCCTAAATACCCAGATGAGAAGGTTACGGTGGGGGAGTGGGAATGGGAGCATTCTGACGGGAGGTGAGATGGGCCGCCCCATTCCACGAGGAGATTTAATTTCCTTTAATGTCAGCCTTCGCACACGCTCTGCTGTCAGGCTATGAACGAAACGGCAATTAAGGTGTGTGTGTGTGTGTACATATTCCATCTCAGGGTAATTATGCGTGTGCGTTTGTTACATCGAATCTATACAATGTAATGCTGTGCCGGTTTCTTTTTTTGCTTTGTGTGTGTGAGGGCGTTTGCGTCCGTCCCCTCGCCATTGACCGGTGTCGTAGAGGGCTAATGGAAAGGCTCCAGGCTGCGCAGCGCCTTTCATGAGCATAATTCCTTCACCTTGCCACAAAGAGGAACCCAACTGTGTGTGTGACAGAGGAGGGGAGGGGGGGG